GAGGGTGGCTGACCAGGTTTCTGCGGCCAGCTGAGTCGCCCAGGAAGCCGCCCACAACCACCAGGTCCTGCACACAAAATGTACACGTGTGCGTGGCTTGCATGGTGCGTCTGGCGTGTGGCTGGCTACCATGGTGTCGCCCTGGTAGTCGGGCTTGAGTTTGAACCACGCCTTCTTGCCTCTGCACACACACATACAGACAAAGGGAGCCGTACGCGTATGTGTGCTCACGTGTGTGGGTGGATGGATGGATGGATAGATGTAGTGTGTTACCGTTCGCCCGGGTAGTAGTGGCTGTTCATGTCCTGAAATATCATGCCCTCCTCCTCATTGTTGACCAACTCGTAGTACTCGCGCATCACGTCCTGACCAGAGAACACCTCCTAACCGCCACCAACACAAAGCACTCCATGAGCCGCCCACCCACCCACCCGTCGTCAGTCTCACGCACCCACCTTCTGTTTGGCGAGGTCGAATCTGTTGGGTGTGAATTCGAGGATGTTCTTCTTCTCGAGCAGCTCCCGCCGCTTCCACAGGGGGTGGCTGAGGAGGTCGTACACCGTACCCGCACTGTCCTTGATGAACAGAACGTCAAACACCACGTAGTACAGCTGCAGACCGGGCTCGGTCCCCTTGGCCGTCGATATCCTCCACACACACACACACACACACACAAATGGAGCGAGAAGGCCCTTTCTCTTTGTGTTCTGGCCCTTTCTCTCTCTCTCTCTCTCTCTCTGTGTGTGTGGCGGCTGCATACACAAATGTGAATGGCGATCTTCTCTCCTGGTAGGTGTCGTATGCGCACATCTCGCCGTCGAGGATGACCTGCTGGCAGCGGCAGCTCTCCAGCAGCAGCTCGTCCATCTGTGAGAAGAGCTCCGAGTGCTCCTTGGACGGGGAGTTCCGACGCGAATGATTGAAGTACCACACCTGCAGCCATGCACCCCTCCATCACACACAGAGAGGCGTGTGTGTCAGTTTATGTGTGTGTACCTTCCTCTCTGATTTGTCGATGTGAATCTGAAGGCGCCAGCCATCCAGCTTGGGCTCAGTCACGTACCGCGGCACCTCCGCCGCGTCGTCACTGCACCCACACGGACAGGCATTTCCCAGCGTGTGCACACCGCTTAGAAGGGCTCACTGACGTCTTGGTGAACAGCCTCTTGACGTCAGGGTGGGTCAGGCGCTGGCTCAGCATGCACGCGACAGGAGAACCGATCGCCATGCTACCCTGCACACATCACATCAACCACAGCCACAGACGTTTGTGTCACGAGATTTGTTATCGCTTGGATTTCATTGCATTTTGTCTTTGTGTCTGCTGCTGACCATGGCCATGGCCGTCGTCTCGTCCCGCAACGCATCCAACGTCTTCTGCACCCACCACACCACCACGACACACACAAGGGACGTGCAAAGGTTTGCTAATCTGCGGATGGCACATGGCGCATCGTGTTGTGTTGTGTTGTGTTGTGTTGCGTTGCTCGCCTTGAGATTGCTGCATTTGTTGTAGATGTCGAATGCGTTAGCGCGGATCCGCTTCAGAATGGTCTCGTGCTTGACGCCACACTTGAGATCTGACACACAGAGAGAAATGGGAAGAGGCCATGGGTGCGAGGGCGAGTGGGTGGGAGTGAGACCTTTGAGTATGATGCGACTGATCCACTTCTGCTCCTGTGCAGTGGCCTCCCGCAGAATCATACGAAACACATGTTGCCTGAACAACGAAGCAAGCCAGCCAACCATCACACACATGGCCACAGCAGCACATTCCGAGCCGTCTTCCCTACTTGGTCATGAGCGGTGCCTGCTGCTGCTGCTGTGCTGGTGGTGCTGGTGCCGGCTCGTCAGCCAGAGGCGCATCCACCGCCATTGCCTCTTGTCTGTCCTTGGCTGCGGCCGCCTTGCTCTCCTCCCAGGCCTGCTGCAGCATGTCCAGCAGCTCGTTGAGCCGACCCACAGTCAGACGCTTTTTCGGCGGCGTCACGCGGTTGTGCAGGACGGAGTACAACACCTCACCGAAGTCACCCGCCATCTGTGTCGGTTGGGCGGCAAACAGCGGTGTGTATCATTGGCCCTGTCTGGTCTGTGGACGCGCCATTCCTTCACTGACCACGTGGTGTTCCTTCCGGTAGTCGAGATCCTTCCACTTGAGCAGACGATCCTTACCTACAACACACAGGAAGGAGCCACCAGCATCATCCATCCATCCATCCATCCATGTGTCTGACCGGCGGTCGGCAGTGCCAGGACGCCGTCCGATGCGTAGACCTTGGCCATGCCGGCCTCCAAGATGCCGTAGGCACGCCTCTCGGGGTCGATGCTGGGCAGCACAAGACGGAAGAACGGGTAGAGGTCGGCAGTGGGGTGGAACAGCTTGTAGTACTCCTGAACCACACTGATCAACCAACACACCACCCCACACACACCGAGAGGGAGCAAGCACACATGCGCCTCTGCGAGTGTGGGGTGTTCCATCCATCCATCCATGCAGTCAGTCAGCCCATTGTCATGTGTGTGTACTCGAGTTTCGATTTGCCCGGCGGCGGGTTCTTGGTCCGCTCTGCCACACACACACACACACACACCACCCGAACAAGCGACGCCATGCATCTCGCTCGTGGCATTCATCACATCACGCGTACCGAAGAGTTTGACGACTTCGATGAATTCTCTGTCATTGCACGTCAGCCGCTTGCCGCCAGCGGAGCGCTGACCCATCGTAATCATCTCACTCACACACACACAACCAAAAGAGCGATAGCGCGAAGCAAAACAGAGGGGCGGAGGTGAGCAATTGATGGATCAATTCACGCCTTCCCTCATTCGTTCCAGTTTCATCGCCAAGCTCGCAGAAGCCGAAAATGTGCCCTCGTTGTCGAGTCAGCTGGATTCTGTCAGCAAGCGGATCCATGAGGCATCGCCCACTACTGACCGTGAGGCCCTCCTGCCTCTCCTGCAAGATCTCACGGAAATACTTCTCTTTGACACGGACACTGCAGCAGGGCAGCAAAAGGCCACCAGGCTAAGGAAGCTGCTGCCGCCTCTCGCCAAGGGCGCGAAGCTGCTGCATCCACCGCTCCTCGCGATCATTCAGGTACTTGGTTGCGTCGTGAGGGCATGTAGCCAATGTGAAGCGCATGCACCTCGTGTTTGTGTCTGTCCTGTCTGCAGAGTGCGAGGAGCCGTCGGTGCCGTCGTTGGGCGACCATCGCCTTCTCGAAGCTGCTCCAGGCGGGCTACCCCTTCTGCTTCAGATCTGCGCAGCCAGATGTGGTCAAGCAGCTGCTTGACAACATGGCGCTGCTCCTCCCCACGGATGCGTCAGCCCCTTCGGCTGTCGATGAGGCCATCTACATAATCCTCTGTGAGGCGACTACGCTGACAGTGGGTGGCGAGATTGCGCCGGTGATGGATATGATCCAGCAGAGGGCCTCGATGGACTACCGTGACATCATCGCCACCAAACACGAAGCCTTCCTGCGCCGCGCCGAGACCCTTCTGCGCTACGGACGGGAGGCGGGCAAAGCTGGCGTATTTATCAGCTGCTTCCACGTGCCATCGACGCCGGCCTCATGCCCCGTCGGCACGTGGATGCGGTTCCTGGGAGTGGCCATCGACCTCGTCATAGAGGGACCGGCTGAGGAGCACGGAGTCGTGGTGGATGGCGCGCGTAAGGTTGCGGAAATCAATGTTGACGTGGCAGTTGCCAACGGTGAGCGGAATGCTGTGGGCATCAATTAACGGCTGCATAGACGTGTGTGTGTGTGTGTGTGTGTGGTCATCAGGTCGCGATGCCGAGCTGTTTGCTGCGATTGAGGAGCATCTGGTGCCGCGTGTGGGCCGCCTCGTGGAGGTCATGACGACCAGCCAGGATGTCGATACCAAGCGGGGGGCGATGAACATGATCGGCTGCATGTTCTCCCTTGCCCACCCATCGTATGAGAAGCACTACGCCAACTCGGCCATCCAAGCGCGTGTCGATGAAGGTACATGAGTCTGCGGGAAGCCGATGCATCCTCATGTGTGTGTGCTGCTGTGTGTGTGTGATTCAGTGCTGAGTGAGCCTGTTCGTGTGTTGCTGGCGCATCCATGCGCCCTCAAGACCATGGCCTCACTGCTCAAGACGGCCGGCGCTGCCGTGGACGTGGATGATGAGCAGGCCGTGACATTCAACATTATCGACCCCATGTTTATCCCCGTACACCTGTCCGGTGGGCAAGTGAAGCCAGACCTACCCACACACACACGCACACACACTCATGAAGAGTCCATTGATGAGTGGACTTGTTTGTGCATGTGGGGATGGGTTTGTGTACAGAGCCGTCCTTCCACAAGCATGCCAAGGAGCACGTGCATGCAGCCATCGAGGCGGGCTTCGTGCCCGCCATTGTGAGTCTCATCCGCGACGACCGGCTGCTCAAGATGGAGAGACTCACGAAGCCTTTCCTGATGGGCTGCACCAACGGCCTGCTCAAAATGTCCCAGTGTGACGAAAAGGTGAGGAATTAGTAAAGCCCTCACTCGCCAAGACACATAGCTCGTTCGTCTGTGTGTCTGGATGGATGTGTGCAGGTAGCGCGCGACAAGACGGTCGCGTCGGTTTGCTGTGACCTGCTGGCCAAACATGCCCGCGGCGACATCGACATACTCATGACCAGTGACGACACCAAGGTCCTGCAGTCGCCCCTCAACAACATCATGTCCATCATCAGCGAGTTTGTCGCGTAAGCAACTCACACGCACACACACTCACACACACACGCCATGATGCGGCTCTTGTCTACCTCTGTTTATCCATCCGTGCAGCTATGGCGACCGTCAGGTGGAGCGAGGCAAGATCGCCACCAACGTCTTCCGCATCTACGTCTTCAAGGTAAGCGAGCCTGCAGAAAAAGAGAGAGACAGAGAGAGAGAGAGAGAGAGAGAGCGCCTTTCATGTGTCCATCTCTCTCTCTCTCTCTGTGTGTGTGTGTGTGTCTATGTGTCTGTAAACTTGCCAGCTGCCGTCAGTGCAGGAGCTCAGGGCAATGCCACGCGACGGAAACAAACTGCCCGACAAGGTAATCTTACAAAGCCCGGAAGGCATGCACGTCTGTGTGTGCCTGCAGGTGTTTGAGCAGTTGGATTTGTTGTACAAGGAGCCCAGCAAGTACCGTGAGGAGCGAGACGCCATCCGCACTGCAGACGCAATCACTGCGGCGTTCGCCACTGGCCAATTCGGGCCCCACCGTGGCGGGTCATTCTTCACTTGTCGGCCGTGACTAACTGACTGAGGCACAATTAGCCACGTTGTGTCTTCGTGGCGTGTGACTGACGTGTTGCCGTCTGCATAGATATAGATAGATACACGTTTTTGCCGCTCTGTAAATATGTATGTCGGTCTGTGTAGGTGTTTGTTCTGTGTAGTGGGCAGATGTCCAGTCCAGTGTGTGTGTGTATATCCCGATTGACGTGAATGCGTTCATTCACACCATAACAACACACGCACGTGACGATCTGTCTCCTGGCACATTCGTGCACTCTCACCCACTCACTTTCTGGTTCGTCAACACCTACCTGTCGCTCATCGGTCCATACACAAATCGGCAAATCTCCTCTCACTAAGAAACAGCCCCCCTCACGCACGCAACACATCACATGCACACAAAAATCGTCCCAGCCTGTCTGTCTGTCTGCGACAGACGTCGAAAGTCATCCAACCAGCCATCTATCTCGCCCACCCGCCCCTCTCCCCCTCTCTACACACACACACACACACATACACATACATATCAACACAAAACTGAGCCCTTCGGGCGGGCAGCCACACACGTGTATGTCATTTCGCTTCAATGAGCTCTTGGATCGAGCTCATGGCCTTGTTGACACTCGCAGTGAAAACCTCTGCACACACACACACTCACCAGACAAGCCCGTGTGTATCGGCGCACATGTGTGTGTGTGTGTTGCTGTGTGTGGCGTGCCTGTGTCCTGCACGGGAGTGGCTATGTCCCCGGGCGCATTCGACAGAATGAGCGCCCCGGCAGCGACGCCCACAACCAGCAGACCAGCCAAAGATGGAAGCACGCCGATCGACGGACCGCCAGACACCTACACGGGCAACATTCACGTAAGAGTGAAGGGGTGTGTGTGTGGTTGTCTGGCGTGTTGTGTGCACACCTGCACGCCCTTGCTCGTGCCAGATGCTGTCTTCGCCGCTGGCTTGGCAGGTGCAGGTTGCTTGGACACCACCACACGCGCCTTCTTGATGGGCTGCTTGGTGTCGGGTGACCAGTAGCCCTGCTCCACGACAGAGAGGACGGTGCCCGGCTTGACGTCACGGCGCTCCTTCTCCTCAGCTTTGTCATGCAAAACCGGGTCGAAGGCATCACGCACGGCCTGCAAACACATACACCACGGGCTGATGGATGGAAATATGTGTATGTGTATGTGTGTGAGCTGACTGACCGGCACGAGTGGTTGGACGTTGAGAGTCGTGAGAGTCTCGTTCAGCAGGGACAGCACCTGTGGGTAGTGAGAAAAAGAGACAAAGAAAGAGAGACAGAGAGAGAGAACACGACATGCGAACGGATTGGCTGACGTGCATCCATCTGTCCATCTATCGGTCCATTGGTCCTGACCTGTTCAGCCTCTCCCTGTGTGACGCTGTCGATGACCTGCCCGCCCAGCACTTTCCGCACCCCCTCCCACTCAGCCGCAAGCACCCTCTGGGGCACACTGTCCACCTCGCCAACAGCCTACTCAACACACACGACACACATACGCCGATCCAACAATTCGTATCTATGAGTGTGGCTGGGTACCTTGTCGTATTCCCGCTTCAGCTGCTGCATCATCACATCACGCTGCAGAATCGCTGCATGCCCACACACCCCACACAATAGACAGGGAGGATACATCAACATGCGCCTGTGTGTGTGTGTGTATGTGTATATGCACCTGCTCTGTACGACTTGTTTGTTCGCTCTAGAGCGGCTATTTTCTGGACGGCACTGCACACACACAATGCGTGTACATCCATCCACGTGTACACTCACGTCTCGGCATACACCAACCATACCTGTCGTCTTTCTTTGCCACCTCCTGCTTGGGCACAGCGGCAGGTGCGGCGGGTGGTGCTGCCGGGGCCGCCTGTGCCTTGCTGGCTGCCTTCTTGAGCTCATCCTGCAGCTGCTTGTACATGACCTCTCGCTGGAACAAAGCATTCTTCAGCCTGTCATCGGCTGCAGAGGGGAGGGATGAATGTAAAGAAGGGACACACCACACCCGTCCGTGACACACGTACTCACGCAGGTTGCTTCTTGCTTACGAGATGCTGTTGAAGGATCTCTCGCCACGAGCATTGTGGTGGGCCGGGACGACTGCACACACAGAGGACAGAAGAGATGATGGAGGCGAATACATCATGTCCGTGTCTGCCTGTAGATGTGTGTCTGTGCTGACCCGTTGCATGTGTGCATTGCTGCCGGTGCGCTCAAGCAGAGATGGCAGGGGCCCCGGCTGCCAACCACGAGCACACAAACAGTGCACAGGCAGAGAGATGATCTGCAGTCAGATCTTTTCAGATCTCTCTTGCATGCCGACTTACCTGGAATGCCTCCGCGCTGACGATGGCAGACAAAGCCAAGAAGCCAAGCATCGTGCGTGAGAGCGGAGATCTGCTTCAAGCTCGCAATGACGGCTAAGCTCGCAGGCGGAGAAGGGGAAAGAGGAAGCAAGGGAGACGAAAGGCAAACGACAATGCATTCACCGTGGCTGTCGTTTCTTCCTCTTTACTCTGTCGTGCAGGTCGTCTTTGAGAAGAAGGAAGAGGACAGGACGGGCGTGTGATGGAAGCCTCCCCCCAGGCCAGATACGTTCATACGCGAGTTCACACGAGCGGTGCATGACTCGCTTCCTCCCCCTTGACGGGCCCACACATCAGGCGCAGCGATGAACGGACGCATCGATGGGCTCACACAGGTCGGAGTAGTGAATAAGTTGGGGCTGTCATTCAGTCATTGGATGGCTTCCATATGGATGTCACGTCTACAGGTTCACGGGGACGGCGAAAGGCATCGCCAGGATGAGACAAAGGCATTCCATCCAACGGCACCCGTCATGGTATGCTCAGGACAGCCGTGCACGTCATGCGATGGCTTCTGTGATCGCATGTGTATCCTCTACCCTTTGCAAGTGGCCGGCAGGCAGTGCGTGAGGACTGATGGTTCTGTCCCGTGTCGGCCGACGTCAACAGGTTGGCACACAAGAAACACAATGGACGAGTACCAAGCATGACACACACAAGCCGAACATACAGAAACCTACCTCTCTCTCTTTGTCTGTGTCAGGAGAGGTGCGGCCCATGCGAGTGGTTTTCACAAGACAGTCATCATCCCCCCAATGTGCTGCTGAGGAGACCTGCTCGTGTGTGGCTTTGGTCGGTATGACCCTATCGACTGAGCCAACGTGGGTACAAACGCATGGACACATGACACTTGCCACCCAGTATTCGCTTCCTTCCCTTTTCAGTGCAGGGCACATGGGTATTTACATAAATGAGAGGGAAACCCACCGATGTCGCTGCTCTCACGTAAGCAACATGACACACACGTGAATCGTTCGTCGAATAGCCAGACACCTGCTTTGTCTGTTGTCTGTGTGTCAGGACTCCGCGTGATGGGGGAGTGGTCGGCTATCGAGGATGGCGAGCGCCGGTCGGTCCGTGTGGCCTCTTTCCTGGCTCCTTGTGATCGACGTTACCCAATCGATTGAGCCACTGTAGCCTCACCACAATGGGTACAGACACAAGTGGGGCTCGGCGGTCGCCGGTCTTCACTGACTAACATCTCACGTTTCGTGCAGGGCATATGGGTAGACACATGAGGGAGAGAAGGGCGTGGATGTCACTGCTCTCACTGCTCTTCTGTCGTGGCTTTGGTGGCTAATCTATCTTGTCTGGCGCCGGCCATGCCATCGCTGTGTGCCAGGTGTTGAGTAGGCATGATTGGTGCATGTGCGTCTGGACTGTTGATGTCAGTGAGGCGATCCCATTTTCGAGGCCATTCCATGGAGCTTGAAGGCATCCACTCAGTGCCAGTGAAGGTGAACACCATCTCACCATACTCACACACATGCAAACCATGGCGTGAACTCGTCGCTCTGCAAAGGTCAACAAGAAATCGAGCTGTTCCGGTCCACAATGGCTGGCTGGTCGAGTGCTTTGAGCCTTGCTGAGGACGCACTAGAGGGCAATTGAAGAACCTCTGCACCCAGACAGGCGCATCTCGGCGTCGGACCGCCATCCGGCCAGCCGAAAAGTGAAAACAATTCCATCAAAGTGACCGGATTTCACGTGATCTGACCTCATCTGCGGCAGCAGCAATCCTCTCTCCCTCTCTCTGCCTCTCATGGCCTCCCGTTGTCCGCAGAAAACGAAATTCAAATGCGGCGAGATTTTTGCGAGCTGAGACGGAGACAAAAACGATTTACGAGACTGCGGGCCGTTTTTCACATTTTCCGTCCCAGTTCGGCTTTGCAGCCTTGTTTTGGCCACATTTCCTCCAGTTCTTTTCCTTTTTGGCTGGTTGTTGGCTCGTGTTGTCCGCCGCATCTCCCTCTACCCCTCCCAACTCGTCCGGATGTCGCCCGCCACTTTTTTCCACCGCCGTGCCCCGGGTGAGGCCTCGTTTGGTGGCGCCCTGCCTTCTGCTGAGCGGCTGGCGTCTCCCTGGCGCCTGCAGAGTGCGCACGCACCTTCCTTTCGCCCAAACCGACCTCCACCAGGTGAGTACATATGAGTGTGGCATCGTGCGTGATGTCTCTTGGGTGCGGTGATGGTGTGGTGTGTGGATGATGTGTAGGGATGAATGTGTGGTGCATTGCGTTGCCATGGGTGTATTCAGATGCCTCCTGTTGCCGTGTTCGTACGTGCAGATGAACTGGTGGTCTTTTTCGTTCCCGTCTCATGTTCTCGACGCATTTCTCTTTAGGTGGGTGAGGTGGGTGTGTGCCTCACTCAGTTTGGTGTTGACGCGCACGTCAGATTCCCTGTCTGCCTCCCGTTGTCCGCAGAAAACGAAATTCAAATTCGGCGAGATTTTTGCGAGCTGAGACGGAGACAAAAACGATTTACGAGACTGCGGGCCGTTTTTCACATTTTCCGTCCCAGTTCGGCTTTGCAGCCTTGTTTCGGCCACAGATCCTCCGTTTCTCTTTCTTTGCCGCTGGCTGTTGGCTTGTTTTGTCCGCCGCATCTCTCTCTACCCCTCCCAACTCGTCCGCATTTCATCCGCCACTTTTTCCTCCACCGCCGTGCCCCGGGCGAGACCTCGGCTGGTGGCGCCCTGCCTTCTGCTGAGTGGCCGGCGTCTCCCTGGCGCCTGCAGAGTGTGCACGCGCCTTCCTTTCGCCCACCGAGCTCCAACAGGTGAGTACATATGAGTGTGGCCTCGTGCGTCATGTCTCTTGGGTGCGGTGATGGTGTGGTGTGTGGATGATGTGTAGCGATGAATGCATGGTGCATTCCGTTGCCATGGGTGTGCTCACATGCCTCCTGTTGCCGTGTTCGTACGTGCAGATGGACTGGTGGTTTTTTCTTTTTGTTCCCGTCTCCTTTTCTCGACGCGTTTCTGTTGAGGTGGGTGAGTTGAGTGAGTGCCTCATTGAGTCTAATGTTGACGCGCACGTCAGATTCCCTGTTTGCTGCTTCTCAGAAAGGCGGTCCTTTGGTCCGACGAAAAAAAAGCGAGAAAAAGAGACAGATTTAGAAATTTGCCGAATCATGTTTGTGTCTTGCAGCCAGCTGAGAAGTTTTCCCAACGACGACATCCTCCTGACCAGCTAGAAGGCATGCGTATGGAAGCCATAAAGGTAGTCGCGTGCTCACGTGCACTGTCAGAAATTCAGGATGCTCACTGATTTCTTCAGCAGAAAAACGAGCTGTGTTTTCAGACAAATGCGGAGCTTCTGAGTAGGCCAGTCGCCTCATTTGCGCCGCCACCAAGGTCTCTATATATCTTGACGAAGACTCGACATCTATCCCTTTTGCCTTCTCTTTCAGCTCAGCGAAAGAAGTCTGGCGGCAGCGTTGCCCTCAAGCATTATCCTGAAAGCCACTCAGGTACGCATGAGTAAGGGAGAAAAAAGAGGAAAGAGTATATATTTGCTCATGTCTCCTCTGTATTTCCTCTCTTTTCATACTTGGCCGCTTCGGCGGCCATCGATCGGCCCAAGCTGCAGCACCGACTGGTAACCCCCGAATATGACATCCATGCATACATGTGCAGACCCTTGTGGGTGGCTGGCTGGATCGTGCAGCTGGCTGCTCCCCCGGTCATCGGCGTCAGGCCAGGCCAGGCCGTCAGGAGCCCTTCACTGGGTGAGCTCAGAACAAGTGCACTATCAGACATATTTAGACGTCTCAGTCTATGTCGCCGCGATAGCCCGCAAGACGGCCAAGGAGGTAAGCTGGTGAGGATGTGGACAGGGAGGCAGGGAGGGAGGAAGGGAGCCTGACTTACAGTGGGAGAGTGGGAGAGTGGGTATTTTCAGGCGTCGTTTGGATCGTCAGATGAGAGACGTCAACGCCGCCGTGTGTGTGTGTGTGTGTGTGCAGAAGTGCATTGTCGGTGTCGGTTCTTCGGACAAGGCCACCACTACGCCTGTCGAGCCCTCTGGTCCGTCCCGTCCGCTCGTGCGTGATGGGTGGTCGTGCTCGTGGTCGTGGTCGTGGTCGTGGTCGTGGGCCACCTCCCCAGAAGGAGTGGCGTGAAAACGTCAAGGTATGTGAAGCGAGGGAGGGTGACGAGGGAGAGAACAGGGAAGGCGAAGGCATGTCGGGAGGCATTTCTGCTGTCTTGATCTTTCGCAGGCCGTCCAGGAGCCCCTCTCCCCGACGGCTACCACCACCACCAGCAGCGACGGCAGCGACACGGTGCGCAGAGTGCCGCACACACACTTGCATTCACGCACACACAGATGCTTGCACGCCTGTCCATGTCCGTGTGTGTTGGTGTGCTCTGATCACAGGATTCCCACTTCGTCAAGGATGAGGTGAGTACGACACACACACACACACAGTTGACGAACGGAGATCTGATGAGTTGTGGCTGGGTGTGTCTGACAGAACTACCCCATATTGCCGGGCTCCCAGGACAACCCAGTGTTGAGCGCCGACAAGGTATGCAAAAGTGGCACACCCGGAAACCAGCAGACGTGTACACAAATGCAACTATCCTCAGGGAATGTGGAACCGCCAGTCCAAAAAGGTCATGGAGCCACCCAAGATGACCGCCAAGACTAGCACCAAGAAGGTGAGCACGACGTACGTAAAGCTCTCACACAGAAGTCTGATAATTTGCTGCTGTGATCATCGACGTACATCTATCCCACTGTGTGTAGGTTTGCACCAGCCAAGGCCAACCCGCGCCCAAGTTCGACACCGTTGACGTGATCACGTGTTTCCTGGTGGCCGTCCTCGTGCAGCGACGACTGACGTTCGTGCTCCCGCTCCACTCCACAGCCTTTCGGAAGGCCAACCGCCACATCTCGGCCAACCGCCACATCTCGGCCCTGAGAGCGAGCGAGGAGGCTCCTCAACCCGCCGCGTCCCCCACCAGCCAGCACACTCAAGAAACCGAAAAGGTCTGCCGGAACGATCAAAAGACCTGCTCAGCCTTCCCAATGTGCTCTCCCTATGTGTTGTCGCAGAGCGCTCTCCCCTGTGGTTCCCAGTTCACCGGACAAGGACGTCGGGGTGTCTGGGCGTGTGTGGGCTTGCCACCACCAACACTAAAGCCTACACGTTCTCGAGCCTGCTCACAGCCTCGCAGTTTCTCATCTTATCACCACGACGCCGGCCAAGGTATGCAGGAATGGCACACCCGAAACCAACAGACGGTACACACATGCAACTGTGCACAGAACAAGAGTGTGTGGGACAACCCTCCAAGAAGGTTACGGAGCCCGACACCCCGACCGGCAGCACCAAGACTACTGGCACCGAGGGCAGCGCTAAGGTGCGCACAGTGACACTCACGCACACGATGTCTGCATGGCTGTCCATCAACGTGTGTGTGTGTGTGTGTGTTTGTGTGTCCCAGGAGGCCAAGGTAGAGCACGCACACACAAGTCTGATGATTCGCTGCTGTGATGCATCGACGTGAATCTGTGCGTGTATGTGCAGGGCACCCACCGCCACCACCTGCTGACCTACCTGAACTACTAAAAAGGCAACAACAAGGTGCGCAGGCAGCACACACACGCATCCATCCACCCAGCCCCCACATTGTCTGCATATCTCTCTGCGCATATCAATGTGTGTGCAGACGGACAAGTGCTACCATTGTGGCTGCCCGGGGCACGGCTACAAGCAGTGCCCAAAGCTCGCCGCCGCGCTCGCTGAGGCCGCCGAGGCCGCCAAGGACGTACGTAAAGATTTGACGGACATCTACACATACACACACCGACACACACCCCCTTAGATGCCCGACATGGCTAACTGTGTGGACGTGTGCAGGACCCGCGTTTCCACATCGTGACTGCCCCGGGTACCGAGACTGCCGAGACCGCCCAGAAGACGACCGAGACCGCCAACAAGAAGACGCGCACACACACGACCAAGGTACGTAGATTGACACAAACATCCACACACATTCACACATCCACTCATTTGCTTTCGCACACCATTTGTGTGTGTGTAGAAGTGGGTGCCTGTCGCGCGCTAAGCGCACCACACACCCACGCCACCACACCCACCCACCACTCACCCCCCCCACACACACACAAATGGTGTGCGAAAGCAAATGAAGAACAAGGCAAAGCGAGTTGAACAACAAGGTCAAGGCAAAGCACACATACAGAAGTCTGATGCTTCGCTGCTGTGATGCATCGACGTGTGCACGTCTGTGCGTGTGTGTGCAGGCGTGTCCCAACACCCGCCACCCCGCGGCGGTCAGCTTCACCTTCTTCAAGGGGCGCAACAAGGTGCGCAGGCAACACACACACACGCATCCATCCAGCCACCACATTGTCTGCATATCTCTGTGTGCGCATATCAATGTGTGTGCAGTTCATCAAGTGTTTCTGGTGCGGGGAGTACGGGCATGGCTACCTCGACTGCCTGGATTTCCGCGCGAAACTCGCCTCTGCCAAGCCCAATTGAGTACGCAAAGACCAGACATCCACACAAAGATACGCCCACACACCGACGCACACACCCTTAGATGCCCGACATGGCTGTCTGTGTGTGTGCAGAACCCATTCTGGATCATCGAGGCGCCCGCCGTGACGGCTTTCGTGCTGACCCTCAAGCTCGAGCCCGCCAAGCCCGAGCCCGCCATGCCCGAGCCCGCCAAGCCCAACAAGAAGGGCAAGAAGGTACGCACATGGGCACACACATCCACTCATTCACTCGTTTGCTTTCACACTGTGTGTCGGTGTGTAGAAGTGGATGCCGAAGAACGCCTAGGCCGGCAAAGCCATGCAGTAGGTGGCCAGAGCAGACCGACTAACTCGTCTGTATGCCCACCGGCCTGTTTGTCTGCAGGCGGTCCATCGCTGCTTACATTTTATATTCGATGGGCATCTTTCCCCTTCAACGCTCCGCATCATGTGTGAGCCGCTTAAGGACGTCGATCTATCGGTAGACACGTGTCTCTTGTGTGGCCCTGTGCCGTCTCAGGAGAAGTGGCTCAACCACGAAAAGACTTGTCTTCTGTCCTCTTCTCTCTGTGGCTGGGTGGTGTGCAGATCGCTGGCTACATTTCATTTTTTGATCGGCCGATGACAGCCCCCTTCGACCGCACTGCCTTGCTGGCCGTTTGCAACTCGAAGGTGAGCTGTCGAAGTATTCTTTACTGATCAAGCCGTGTGTACGTGTCTCGTGTCTCTGCGTGTGCAGATGGATCGCCGTCTCCCTCTGACATCTCCGATGCGCCTGCCTACTTCATCCATTTAGCCTGCCCCCGGGCGGCCCCACAGGTACGGAAGTGAGGGAGACACAAAAGAGGCGACAATCAAGATATGCTCATGTCTCTTCTCTTTCGTCTGTCTGTCTGTCTACGCATCTTTGGCCGCTCTGCCGGCCCCCGAGAGACGCCTCCTCTATCTGGCCCGCCAGTGACACGGACACGGACACAGATGCCTCCATGGCTGTCTATGGCCATGTGTGTGTCTGTGTGTATGTGTGTGTGTCTGATGATTTCACGACACCCAGGAGGCCAAGGTATAGCACACACACACAAGTCTAACGATTCGCTGCTGTGATACATCGAAGTGTGTCTGTGTGTGTGCAAGACCCCAGATTCTACGTGGTGCCCGCCCCAGGTGCGGAGACCGCCCAGATCGCCCAGAAAGCCGAGACCGCCCAGACCGCCCAGAAGGAGGAAGGGCACCACGCTTTCCTTTTCACTCACCTTTAACTCCCGAGGCGGCGAGAGGGCGGTGCCGTGCACTCCCTCATTCTATCTCTGCTTAGCTGAGTAGCTATAGTCCACCAGCTTGCTGAATAGTCCACTAGCTTGAGGGGCCCTTACTCACCAACATGACGAGATGCCTGATGAAGAAGTTCTACAAGAAGGCCACGAAGGTACACAGGGAGGGGGGCTGAGGGAAAGGCACCACGAGGGAGTCGGGGGGAGGCACCTCGGGGAGCTTGTCTTCGTCTGCCTATCCGTGACGCAGGCCGTCGTCGAGGTGCCGGAGGACCAGCGCCCGCTGTGGTGAGTGGAGCGTGGATGTGGGCTGCCTCACACCGTCCGTCGTCCGTCGCCCGGTCCGTTTATCGTGATGGGGCGTCATGGTCAACGTCATGGGCAGTTTCCTTGTAGGAGTGGTCGTCAGCAAGGTCGTGGGCGTGCGGAGCGATGCGAGAAGCAGGTATGCGAAGCGAGGGAGGGTGATGAGGGAAGATCAGGGAAGAAGAAGGCATGTCGGGAGCCGTTCCTGCGGCTTGATCTTTCGCAGGAGCAGGTTGTCAGAGAGCCGCCCTCCCCGACGGCTAGCACCACCACCACCACCACCAACGACACCATCACCAAGGTGCGCAGAGTGACACACACTTGCATTCACGCGCATACAGATGCCTTCATGCCTGTCCCTGCCTCTGTGTGTGTGTGTGTGTGTGTGTGTCTGTGTGCTCTGATCACAGGGTTTCCAGTTTGCCCAGGACAAGGAGGTGAGCATGACACACGCACAATTGACGAATGGATGTCTTATCGGTTGTGGCTGTATGTGTCTGACAGAACTATCCCACGCTCCTGCCGGGCGTCAAGGACAGCTACACCACTACGCCGCCGGCCAAGGTATGCAGAAGTGTACACATGCACCTGTCCACAGGGACTGTGGAACAACACTTCCAAGGCCGTGTTCGCCAGGAGCACTTGGACCGCTTTGCCAGGATGTTGGACGAGATCAACTGAGGAGCTCAACGCTCAAGAGGGGGAGACCGCCAAATTGAAGGCCAAGGAAGCACAAGAAGCGCGCAAGAAAGCCAAAGCCCACGAGGTACTCAGGCGAAACATACATCAGCCGTTGCCGCGCATATGGACTTTGAGCTATGATGCATCTGCTGTTATGAGTGCAGCGTAAGGTAACACGTGTCCGGATCGCCGTTAAGCGCGCCAAGAATGCCCAGGCACGAGAGGAACAGGAGACGGCACACGTATGAAAGAAAATCGTGTCACTTATCGCATCTGGATGGATGGTTTTGTGTATGTCTGCGTGTCTGTGTGCAGCTGATCCGTATCACCTCTGGCAAGCTCGAAGTCCGTCAGCGCATCCACCCCTCCCCAGACACACATCGGCAACCGTATGCGCACACACACCGAGATGCACAAGCACGGTGTGAGAACACGACCGGTCACTGTGAGAGTCATCCTCTTGTGTGTCTGTACTCGCAGATCGAATCGTTGTCTACGTTTTATATTCGTCGGCATATCTTCGCTTCTTCGCAGTCATGTCTCCGACAGGATCAGACCAAGACCTCGATGGCAAAGACATACATGCAATACATCAGGAATACTTTGTCTTCACTTCTGTTCTCTCTGTGGCTGGGTGGTGTGCAGATCGCTGGCTACATTTTATATCCGATCGACCAATGACGACCCCTTCAACCGCACTGCCTTGCTGGCCGTTTGCACATCGAAGGTGAGCTGCAAAAGTATTCTATACTGATCAAGCCGTGTGTACGTGTCTCGTGTCTCTGCGTGTGCAGATGGATCGCCGTCTCCCTCTTACATCTCCGAGGCTCCTACCTACTTCATCCATTTAGCCTGCCCCCGGGCGGCCCCATAGGTACGGAAGTGAGGGAGACACAAAAGAGGTGGTAATCAAGATTTGCTCATGTCTATTCTCTTTCGTCTGTCTGTCTGTCTACGCATCTTTGGCCGCTCTGCCGGCCCCCGAGAGACGCCTCCTCTATCTACTGGCCCGCTACCCCACTGGCCAGCCCACGGCTTACAGCCTCCGCCCACAGCTGCCAGATGGAGGCAGCTATAAGGTACGCTGCCTGACGTGATGTGGGTACTCACCTGTGTGTTCCCATCTGTTCTGCGATCCTCAGGAAGTCATTCGTCTCCTTAAGGAGAAGTTGCGCGCCGAGCGGAACAAGAGGGCCAGGAAGGAGGGCCCTCTAGAGCAGGTAGGAGGGAGAGGGAAGGCGGGCCAATGGCTGCCAACGACCTCTGCTGCCCTGTCTTTCAGGAGATCCTGAAGTTGTGCCGGGTGAACTCTGAGTTGAACCAGGTAAGATCATCGACTTGAGCACATGCCAATCTGAATGCCGTGTGGTGTGTGCGTAGGAGCTGACGGCCAAGAAGGGCGACAACCGTCAACTGCTGGAGCAGCTCACCGATAATAACTTCAAGAAACCTGCACGCAAGGTAAGCATGAAAGGAGTATGCACCTCCTTCAATCATGCGTTTGTGTGTGTGTGTGGGTTTGTGTGTCAGACGACAGCGACGCAGACGGTATCACTGACACATGGGCAGATCGACGTCCATTCTACGTCTGTGTGTGTGGGTGTGTGTGTAGGTCAACGAGCCGAGCGTTGGTGGCGGCGGCGCGGTCCAATCTCCTCCTGCGGTCCAGGTATGTACGCGCCACCACTCACTCACAAATGGGCAGATCGACGTCCATTTATTCTACGTTTGTCTGTGTGTGGGTGTGTGTGTAGGTCAACGAGCCCTCTCCGAGGCGTAATCAACGGCTCCCGTCTGTGTGTGGGTGTGTGTGCAGCTGTGTTCCCACCGCCCCCACCTGCTCACCTACCTCAACTACTACAATCGCGTCAAGGTGCGCAGGCAGCACACACACACGCATCCACCCAGCCCCCACACAGTCTGCGTATCTCTGCGTGCGCATATCAATGTGTGTGCAGAACAACGTGTATTTCCATTGCGGCTGCCCGGGCCATGGCTTCAAGCAGTGCCCGAAGTTCCACGCCAAACTCGCCGAGGCCGCTGCTGCTGCCAAAAACGTACGCAAAGATCGGACGGCCACACACACACACCGACGCACAAAGCCTTAGATGCCCGACATGGCTGTCTGTGTGGCTGTCTGTGTGCAGGACCCGCGTTTCCACATCGTGCCCGCCCGGGTGCCGAGATCTCCAAGAACCGTTCCACCACGGCAATTTCCCTGTGGGACCGGTCGTCGAGGTCAGCAGCGCCAGGAGCAGTTGCGTAAGGAGTGGCGCCGTGTCGTCAAGGTATGCGAAGCGAGGGAGGGTGATGAGGGAGGGAACAGGGAAGGAGAAGGCACGTCGGGAGCCGTTCCTGCGGGCTTGATCTTTCGCAGGAGCAGGTTGTCATGGAGCCGCCCTCCCCGACGGGCAGCACCGCCAGCACCAGCAACGACATCGACACCGACACGGTGCGCAGAGTGCCGCACACTTGTATTCACGCGCGCACACATGCCTGCATGCCTGTCTCTGTCTGTGTGTGTCTGTGTGGCTGTGTGCTCTGATCACAGGGTTCCAACTTCGACAAGAATGTGAGCACGAGACACACACACTTGACGAATGGACATCTGATGAATTGTGGCTGTGTGTGTCTGACAGAACTTCCCCTCACTGCCGGGCGCCAAGGACAAGCTCACCACGACTCCGCGAGACACGGTATGCAGAGGTGACAGACCCGAAACCATCAGACGTGTACACACATGCAACTGTGCACAGGGCAAGTGGGAGAAACGCTCGAAGAAGGTCATGGAAGCGCCCACGCCCACCAACAGCACCAAAAGCACCACCAACGGCAGCGTGAAGGTGCACACAGTGACACTCACAGACACAGATGCCTGCATGGCTGTCCATCAATCTGTGTATGTGTGTGTGTCT